ACACTGCATATATTGTTTCTTACCTTAATGCTATATACCGGATCGTGCAGTTAGCTGTCAATCTGAAGAAAAAAAGGATTTTTTTCACTTAACAAAAAGAGCCGCATGCGGCTCCGGAGCCGCAGGTTGCCGACACCTGATCTAGGGGAATAATAAAAGTATTCACGATAACATTTATTAAGTACTTCCTGTGTTCCAGGTATTGTTCTAAGTATTTGCTAAGTATTCTCTCACTTGAAATTCACAAGAACTCTGGCATATAGAAACTATTATCTTCAACCAAAAATGAGACATGAAAAGGTTATTAGTAACATTTGCCAAGCCATTCAGCTGGTAGGTGGAGGAGCTGGGATTCAAATCCAGAGCAACCAGGTAGGTTTCCCAAAGGAGCAAGGTTTGATCTGAGTCTAGAGAACTTGAACAGACTGGCCAGGCCAGGGTGGGGCATGCTGGAAGAACAGAAAGCTTCCTGGCAGAAAGAGCAGGCATGTCCAGGTAGACAAGCATGGAAAAGCAGGGGTAGATGGATCTCAGCAACACAATATTGAATCCAAGCAGACAGACACAAAAGGGTATTTACTGTAATTTTCCACAATGTGCAAAAACAGGCAATAGAAATCCTATCAGCAGTTATTCTCAGGGGATTGACTAGGAAACGGCATGAGACTTCTGAGATACTGATTATAGTCTGTACCTTCATCTGGATGGTGGTTATAGGGGTGTGCCCGCTTCATACCATTAAGACTTGTGCACTTTACAGGATGCATGTTGTATTTAAGTTTAAAAACTTAAATGTCACTACAGTATTGGTGTAAAAAAAAAAACGAAACACTTGTGATTTTCTAAGAAGGGTAGAATTTTTTTTTATGACAAGATGTAATGCCTGTGAATAAGATAAGCAATAAGGGGAGGGATGTGGAGAAGTGGGATAAGAACCATATTTTATGTATAGGAATTAGGAAATGGAAAATGGAGCAGAGAAGGGCTCAGAAGAAAAGAACAAAATCAAAGGGACAGCTGAGAAATCTAACTGAATCTTCCCTAACCAAGCAGATTCAGATACAATTGCATTTATTGAATGCTCCTGTCTCCAGCGTTGTGCTAGGGTGATCCTAGCTAGGAGTAAGTCAGGTGTGGAAATGCTAGTTCAGAGAGGTGATGTGACTTGTCTGAAATCACATTCCCTGTAAATACTAGAGTTATATTTGCTAGAAACATCCCATTTGTGCCCCAAAGCAAGGTTCCAAAATACTAAGTATTGGCTCCAATTCAAGGCAGAGTTTGAGCTCAGAGGAAGTGGAGGGGAGGCCCTGGCTTTTTTGGCGGTGTAGGTGGCTTCCTGCCCAGGAGACACACCCAGCTTCAAAATCACCACTCTAGGCAGTCAGGTTGTTGCTAGGCACTAAGGGGGCCCTTGAGCTTTCAAGTAGAGCCAGTGCAGAATGGGGAAGGAAGCCAGTCTCCTGGGTTAAGCCTAAGTGAAGAGGCCCATTTTTATTTATTTATTTTTTAATTTTACTGCCATCACCAGCCCTTACACAGAATAAATCATGTCACTCCCTGCCCTCTTCCCAATGTAACACTTAGTGGTCTCCCATGAACTCTAGTTATTTGTGTTTACTAGAAGGAAATACCTTAAATCAGGGAGCAACCATGTGTCTCCTACAAATACCAAACTGTTCCTTGAGAATCAGCCACAGATAGGACTTGTATTGGAAGCCAAGAATATAGAGATGTCATCTTCATGGAGCTCACAATCTGCCTGGGAACACAAACCTGAAGCTGTACTGCAGGGTGATATTTAGAATAGGGCATAGCACGTTGGGTACACAATATATATTTGCTGAATGAACAGGGACTGATGCCTTAGAACAGCTCACAGGTGCCAATTCAAGGCAGACATCAAAAAAAGCTTCAGGCCGGGACCGGTTTGGCTCAATGGATAGAGCGTCGGCTTGGGGACTGAAAGGTCCCGGGTTTGATTCCAGTCAAGGGCATGTACCTTGGTTGCGGGCATATCCCCAGTAGGGGGTGTGCAAGAGGCAGCTGATCGATGACTCTCTATCATCGATGTTTCTAGCTCTCTATCTCTCCCTTCCTCTCTGTACAAAATCAATAAAATATAATAAAATAAAAAAAAACAAAAAAAAAAACATATATTTAAAAAATAAAAAAGCTTCAGGAAGGTAACCATGCCTATCTGCATAATAATGAATAGGAGCCCTGACATTGTCCTGTGCACCAAAGGGTGGCCAGTTAGATTTCACTTCAGGGTACATATTGGTATGAGGGTACAGGCTCTAGCCCCATCTGGGGTTGCAGATCATTCTCTGATATTTGTTTCCCTCTCAAATCAATAAAAACATATGCATTTTCAGAAGCCCTGGCCAGTGTTTCTCAGTGGTTAGAGCATTGGCCCTCTCACCAAAAGGTCCCAGGTTTGTTCGATTCCCGAAGGCATGTAGTTTGCAGGTTCAATCCCTGGCCTGTGTGGGGATGCTTTCAGGCCACCAATTGATGGTTCTCTCTCTCCTTCCCCCTCCATCCCTCCCTTCCATTCTTCCTAAAACAAAAACAAAAAAACAAACAGAAAATATCTTTGGACAAGGACTTAAAAAAAAAAGGTTAGGAGTGTGGGCTGGCGGATTGTGGGAGGGGCATTCCAGTTCAAGGAAAAATGTCCAATACATGCATGACAGTGGGTGGAAAATGTTTAGCAAAAGAGTAGTCATTGTTAAGTGCATTATACTGAGTGGTCTGTGGAAACTGACCACACATGATGCTCCTGGGAAAGCCAGTTACTCTTGCATTCTCCAACTGCCACCACCATGTCCCCCTCACAGCCCCCACCCTCCTGGAGTTGGCCATCTCTCCAGCAGCCAGGGCTGTGACCCACTCACTCAGACATTTTTCCATGGCACCACTGCTAGCCAGTTGCTAGCAATCTCATATTACTTTGTGGCCCCAACACTGATTTTTCACTAGTAGCCATCTGGCAGGAACATTTTTAAGTAATCAAGATTAAATTAATCTTTTGTAGAATTTGGAGTCACAAAGGGAAAATTAGACATGAGACATTTTAGAAATACTTCCCTCTGGTTCCTCCACATGGTCCTCTTCCTTCCCCGTCACTCAAAGAACTAAAATTGTCAGGGTGCTTTAGAATTGGTTTACTCTTAGATATCCAGGCAATGTGACCTTGTGGCAGGGTATGGGGCTAAAGCCAGATGAAATGGAGATGAACTCTAGCTTCTCCTCTTACTGGGTTTGTTTGGGACAAGAAATCTCATCTGTCATTCACTTGCATGGGAAAGAACTAGTACCACAGAGATTGCTGGGAGACAGTGCTGGTATGTGAATTGCACCAATTCTGGTTTTATAACAAGGGGAATGGGTCTTGGCTCGGTCACTTACCTCTCTAAACCTCACACTTTAGAGGTTGACTCCTACCTAAATACACTACGTTGCATTTTTTTACTAGAAAGTGTTAAATTAGGTATGAGCCATACAAAAAAACTATTCTGGCCCAGCTGGTGCTGCTCAGTGATTAAGCATTAACCTATGAACCAGGTCACTGTTCAATTCCTAATCAGGGCACACGCCCAGGTTTCGGCTTCATCCCCAGTGTGGGGTGAGCAGGAGGCAGCCAATCAATGATTTTCTCTCATCAATGATGTTCCTCTCCCTTTCTGAAATCAATCACTCAATATATGTATACTCATAAATGCATTTTGCACATAGGAGATTCTCAGAGACACTCGTTAACATTTCCAAACATGATGGAAAAAAGCCTAAGACTAGGGAAACAGAAATCCAAGGTTCAAGTTCTAGTTCCACCATTAGCCATGTCGCTTATGAAGCACATTTGTAATGAACTCTATTAACAGTGGTTCTCAACCAGAAGCAAATTTGCCTTAAGGGGCTATTTGGCAATACCTGGAGACATTTTTGGTTGTCACATATATGGGGGCTGCTACTAGCATCTAATTATTAGAGGTTAGGGATGTTGCTAACGATCCTATAATGTATAGGACAATCCCCCACAAATAATTATCTGGACTCAAAGTGCCATGATTGAAAAAAAACCTGTGCTAGGTTCACTCAATTCAAGCTGTCTTGCCATAAAACCCCTTTACCTGCATGCAAAACTTGAGATCATTGCAACGGCTAAGAAACTGGTGCAGGCCAGGAAATTCCTTAACACCAGGAATTCCTGATTCCTGCAGACCAAAGAAAATACCTTCACAATGTTTTGAACAAACTGAAGTATTAGAGATACTAGGGCCCTATCGGCATTACTAACTCCTTTGCCAAGTTAAATGTATTCCTAGAATTAAGAATAGCAAAGATTAACTAAATTAGTAAGAGGCAGAGTTCACTTATCTTTATGTTCACCATATTTTATATTTGTATCCTAGCACCTAGAACAGTTCCAAAGGCCCAAGTACTAAACCACCACCAGAAGCATGGAATTAATCATCCCTAACCCAAAAGATCAGTTGGGAATTGGTACCAAGTCTGTTACCAGACAGACCTATAAATCCAAGAACCAGGCGACGGAAGTAGCAAGGCTCCTCAGACTGGATCATGCTGGGGAAGCAGCTGCCATTTACCGTCACAACCACAGCTACTGCTCCGCCTCAGCCGTCTGAACCAAAGTACAGGTCTCCATACACAGAAAGCCAGGATGAACTATTTCAGGAAGACCAGAAAAGAATTGCCAGACAGCTTTCGAACGAGTTTCTGAAGGAAGACGAGCTGTAACTAAGGTAATGGAAATGGAGAAAGAGCAATTCAACAGCTCTGCCTGTTATTTACCTTTATGACCCCATTTTGTCCGATTTAAATTCTAACTTTGTAAACAAAGGCCAGGCCTGTTCCTATTTCCCAGCTCAGCAAATGTGTTATAGTTCTTTTCTCTAGCTCTATTCCTGACACATTCTTTTTCTCAAATGCTGACTACTAAGAGCTACACTGATAATTACCACAGAACATTTTTATTAAGAACCAAACAAACTTTAATATTTCAAGGATATCCCAAATGAGTTACTAGTGAGGTTACAGAAGTTCCCACTCATGCCACAACAGCAAGAATCAAGAATTCTGCAAGTTAATTACCTCTTTGGATACATAAAAACAATGTATTAAAGGATGTCACAAAGTGCAAAAAGACATTCAGCAGAGCAAAACAAACAGCAGGCCAACTATCTTAACAAGACGGCAGAGAAACTGGAGTTCAGTCCCAAGAAACAGCTGCCTCACGCAAAAACAGGTCCAGACATGGGTTTTGATCGATTCGTTACTAGTCGAAAGCAAACTCAAAGGAAATTGAGGTTTAGATTTCCCATGACTGTAATAAGAACTTACAAAAAGAGAACCTTTAACCTAACATCTCATATGTAGGATAAGCAAGAAATAATAAGCAGTGAGACTTAGCCAGGCTATCTGATCGTGGACGGACACTTCTGCTGCCGAGCTCTGAGCATCTCACGCAGAACTATCTGGAATTGCTCCTGCACCACCATTTTTATCATCTGTTCCTTTGTGTGAATATCGGGTCTCAGCCACTGCCTAGCAAGCGCTAGCAGATGCCTGAAGACTTCCCTGGGCGTAGATGGACCCTCATAGCGGAACTTTCTGAACATCTGCCTGAAGATGAGAGGATTGACAGGATTCCTTCCTGGCCAGATCTCAACATTTTTGACACAGACTTTTTCAAGACTCTTCTGCGGATGCCCAGAAGGCTCTTGTGGAACCTGGGCCTGGGGAGCCCCAGTTAGGACATCTGGCTCCTTAGCCACCATCTCATTTGGAGGTGACATTATTGGATCATTCTGGACTTCTCTATCTTTTTGTGTCTTTGGGTCTTCTTCGGTCTCCATTCTGGAACTCTGGAAAGGATGACTCAGGCTGCTAGGTACAAAGAGAGAAGTCAGTCAGCCAATCAAATACCTGTAAGAGAAAAACAGACCACCAAGGCTATTAAAACCACCCCGATCTCTGGTCTGGACCAGATCCAGGTTCCATTAGTTTTCCCATTTTAACCATTTTCTTTCTTTTCAGAGATGCATAGTTTTTAAATTTTACTTTTCAACTACAGTTGACATTCAGTATTACTTTATATTAGTTTCAGGTGTACAGCATAAAGATAATTATGTAATTTACAAAATGATCCCAATAATTCAAGCACCTACCTGGTACCATACATGGCTATTACAGTATTACTGATCATATTCCCTAGTAGAGGCCAGTGCACTCATTATGCACAGGGTGGGGTCCCTTGGCCTGGTTGGGCGATCTGGGCCAGCCAGGAGGGACTGTGGGCTTGGCCTGGTTGGGCCATCTGGGCCAGCCAGAAGGAGGGGCTGTGGGAGTGCACTGACCATGTGGGGGGAGGGCAGGGGATGGACACAATGGGACACCTGTGTTGAGCAGCTGCCCCCTCGTGGTCAGTGTGCATCATAGCTACCAGCTGGTTGTCCAGTCATAACAGTCGCTTAGGCTTTTCACTATGTAGATGTTGAACTTTACATCGCCATGACTATTTTGTAACTACCAATTTGTATTTTTTATTTTTATTTTATTTTATTTTTATTTTTTTAAATATATTTTATTGATTTTACACAGGGAGGAATTGAGAGGGACAGGGAGTTAGAAACGTCGATGAGAGAAACATCGACCAGCTGCCTCTTGCACACCCCCTACTGGGGATGTGCCCGCAACCAAGTACATGCCCTTGACCGGAATCGAACCTGGGACCCTTCAGTCCGCAGGCCGACGCTCTATCCACTGAGCCAAACCGGTCCCGGCCCAATTTGTATTTTTTAAACCCTTCACCTTTTGCACCCATCCTCCTAACCAACCCCTTCTGGCAACCATCAGTTTGTTCTCTGTATCTGAGTTTGTTTCTGTTTAATAGGTTTTCTTTTGTTTAATTATGTTTTTATTGCTTTTTAGAGAGATAAACATTGATCAGCTGTCTTCTGCATGCCCCTTTACTGGGGATCAAGCTGGTAAATGGACATGTGCCCTCACCAGGCATCGAACCAACAATCTCTTGGGATAATGCTCAACCAACTGAACTACACCTGCCAGGCTCAATAGGTTTTCTTCATAAAGCTATTAGAAATTCTATTTTTATTTCCTCTTGTTGAATCAAGTAACACAATTGAGAAAATGTGCAGTTTACCAAAATGAAAAATGTACACTTGGGACTATATTCCTTATGTTGAACTTTACATCCCCATGACTATTATGTAACTACCAATTGTATGGGAAATTGAACTTTGAACTTCCCAGAATCTCTTTGGATGCCTAACAGCGTCAGCTTTAGCAAACCAACTTAGTGGGAAGAATGGAGTGGGCCAATCAAATACCGGTAAAATGCCAGAAAAGGGCTTTGCTTCATTTGGGGTTAGAGCCCCAGTCCAAAAGAGCAGTTATTTACAGGAAAACCACACCTTATGTTAATTTTTTATTGATTTTAGAGGAAGAGATAGAAACATTGAGGAGTGAAACACTGCACACCACCTACTGGGGAAGAAACACACACTGTACCCTTCTGGGGAATCAAACCCAAGCTCATCAACTAAGCCACAACAGCTGGGCTGCTAATTTATTTTATCTTATTTTTTATTTATTTATTTTTTAAAATATATTTTTTTATTTTTTTACAGAGAGGAAGAGATAGGGACAGAGAGCTAGAAACATCAATGAGAAACCTCGATCAGCCGCTCCCTGCACACCCCCCACCGGGGATGTGCCCGCAACCAAGGTACACGCCCCTGAGCGGAATCAAACCTGGGACCTTTTAGACTGCTGACTGATGTTCTATCCGATACAGGGGTCCTCAAACTTTTTAAGGTGGGGGCCAGATCACGGTCCCCCAGAGAGCTGGAGGGCCGGACTATATGAACTACTAATTCCTACCCACACTGCACATATCTTATTTCGCAAAAAGGTAACAAATACAATATAAATAAAATGAAGAACATTTATAAATAAACAGATCACTTACCAGTATTTCAATGGGAACTGTGGGCCTACTTTTGGCTAATGAGATGGTCAATGTCCGGTTCCATATTTGTCACTGCTAGTCGTAACAAGTGATGCAAGTGGGCATCAGTTAATCTTGATCTGGTTGGAGATTTCAGATGTTTCATTCTTGAAAAAGTCTGTTCACAGACATAAGTGCTACCAAAGATGGTCACCATTTTGAGTGCATGGTTCCTGATATTTGGATATGTCTCAGAGGGGAGAGATGCATAGAAATTCAGAAGGCTACTTGACTTGAATGCATCTTTCAGAGAGTCACAATTCTGCAGTTCAGCCAGTTCCATTTGGTAAATTGTAAGGACATTTTCAATCTCAACAGAAAATGGGTTACGAAAAAGCTGTATGTCCTGTTCGTGGAGATGAAGCTCTTTGAATCTAAATTGAAACTCCTTTTGCAACAATTCCAGTGAATCCACACATGTTTTCTTTGGGAATGCAACCAATGGTTTGTCCACTGACAGGTTTTGAATTGTTGGGAGATGGCTGAAGTTTTCCTCCTTTACTTGTTTGATGAGAAGGCCTAATTTTACTTCAAATGCTTTCACATGCGATGCCATATCACAGATGAGCTTCCCCTTTCCTTGAAGTTGCAGATTGAAACTGTTGAGTAGCTCTGTTATATCTGTCAGAAAGGCAAGGTGCCATTTCCATTCTGCATCATTGAACTCTGGTACTTCTTTGTTTTTTGAAAGTAGAAAAGCTGTAATCTGCGGAAGTAAGTCATAGAAACATTTCAAAACTCTCCCTCTACTCAGCCAACGGACTTCTGTGTGGTACAGAGCATCCTCATGGGCAACATTTAGCTCAGACAGAAATTCCTGAAATTGTCTGTGGTTTAGTGCATGAACTCTAATGAAATTAACACAAGATACCACAATTTTCATAACAGAGTCCCACTTCAGTGATTTAAAACACAGCGCTTGTTGGTGGATGAGGCAGTGTATGGCAATTGGATGAGGATGGTTATGTTTGTCCATCTCTTGTTTAATGTGAGCAATTACTCCTCTCTTAGACCCCACCATGCTAGGAGCACCATCAGTTGTCACACTGGCTAGTTTAGCCCAGTCCAGCTCCAAACCATTCACAGTTTGGCAAACCTTTTCATATATATCCACTCCTGTGGTTGTACCTTTGATACTTTGCAGTGCAGCAAGCTCTTCTGTGACTTCAAAATACTCATTTGTCCCACGCATAAAAATGAGAAGTTAAGCAGAATCACGAACACCATTGCTTTCGTCAAGTGCCAAGGAAAAATAGCAAAGTTTTTTTGCAGAGTTTTGCAAATGGTGCTGCAAATTGTCTCCCATTTCTTCAATCCTTCGTGTCATTGTAGCTCCTGAAAGACTCACTGTACTAAATAAATCGGCCTTCTCTGGACACATCTCTTTGGCAACAGAAAGAAGGCATTCTTTAACAAATTCTCCCTCCACAAATGGTCTGCCATTGCGCGCTATTAGCTTGGCAACTTGAAAACTTGCCCGCAGTGATGAAATATTTAGCTGCTTCTGCTTCACAAAAGTATTTTGCTGAGTTGTCAGTGTATGTTTCAGTTTTAATATTTTATCTTTTCTCACTTCTCCGACCAAACAATCATATTTATCTTATGTTGAGTTTGATAGTGGCGTCGCAAATTGTATTCTTCGAACACAGCAACTATTGTATATTCTGGCATATCAGACACACAGCTTTTTCTTTGTACCGCGTGAAAAAGTAATCATAAGTCCACTGTTCTTTGAATATCCTACACTCGGAGTCAATTTTTCTTTTTCTTGACATCATTGTTTCCTAGGGATTCCAAATTGCTATTAGTAAAATACTAATATGTGTGTGTGTGTGTATATATATATATACACACACACACACACACAGTGTATGAACTCCCATTAGTAGGTCTCTGCCCCCGATGTGGACACTTACCTCTTGCAGGCTTTTCTAAGCAGACCAGCTCAGTCCCTGATGGGGTTCGGTTATATCTCCCTATATAACGGCCAAATTGATATGTTCGGAATCGGCATGTGAACACTGAAAAGGAAATGTAAAATGCATATAAAATTTTTAATGTAAACCCCTTTAAAAGGCTTTAATCGTCTTTTTACACTGGAGTTGACTTTCTGGTTTGGAATGGGCCTGGCTATATTAGTAGGAAGATGCGATCAGGGTTGCCTCATGGAAAAAAAAAGGCTGTTGGCTGGGGCGGCATGCTGTCAGTCTCAATTCTTCCACAAAGAGACTTGGTCCAAGACCCCCCCACACACACACACCTGGCAGAATTTTGATTTCTCATATCAGCACCGAACACCTTCCCCCCAAAACTGGCAGAATTTTCCATATTGGCAATTCAGCACCGAACCCCTAACCTCCCCCCATCTCCCACCTGGCAGAATTTTGATTTCACATATCAGCACCGAACACCTTCCCCCCAAAACTGGCAGAATTTTCCATATGGGCAATTCAGCACCGAAGCCCTGACCTCCCAACCACCCCCCACCGCCCAACCCCCAACTGGCAGAATTTTGATTTCAGCACCGAACGCCCCCCCCCCCAAGGGGAATTTTCATATGAGTCACCAACCCCCCACCCCCCAATCGGGCAGAAACCCCCCATCTGGCAAAAATTTCTTTCTATGGCACTTTCGACCGACCTTTGGTGAAGGCAGTGGAGGGAGAGGAGGAGAACCTCACTGACAGGCAGGCACAGCACACAGACACCACGTTGCCTGGGGATGAAGCGGGCGCCTTTTTACATCATTGCCGTGCAGCACAGCACAGACGTCGCACGCTCTGAGCCCCAGCAGGCACTGTGCTCTTAAAGAGGCAGAGGGGTCAGAACGGCCGTGCAGTGACAGTGTATATGCAGGTCCTGGCGGCCGAACTCTAACACCTCAGCTGCACTCACTGCCCAAAAAACCTGGCGGGCCGGATCAGACTCCTCTGCGGGCCGCATGTGGCCCGCAGGCCGTAGTTTGAAGACCCCTGTTCTATCCACTGAGCCAAACTGGCTTCGGCATATTTTTTATTTTTTTTTAAATAAATATACTTTATTGATTTTTCACAGAGAGGAAGGGAGAGAGATAGAGAGCTAGAAACATGGATGAGAGAGAAACATCAACCAGTTGCCTCCTGCACACCCGCTATTGGGGATGTGCCCGCAACCAATGTACATGCCCTTGGCCGGAATCGAACCCGGGACCTTCCAGTCCGCAGACCGATGCTCTATCAACTGAGCCAAACCGGTTTCAGCTGGGCTGCTAATTTATAAGAGGGGCAAGAAACTCAAATGACAGGTTAATGACTAAATTTTCACATAAGGTTATGTCCAATCATCAAATAATATAACTCCTATGATGTAGTCAGCTTTCAGAGATCATGTTTTTTCATTAACTCCCCTCCTTTAAGAACTAATTCCTCCTTATTCCACACAGAAGTGTTGACATTTAAAATAGGTCCTATTCATTGAAGTGTTGTTCCAATGTGGTAGAGTTTCAGATTTGACCCCTGGTCAGAGCACATGCAAGAGGTAACCAATGAATGCATAAATAGTGGAACAGGATGATGTCTCTCTCTTTCTAAAAAAATAAAATAAAAATCTATCAATAAATTTTTTAAAAATTCCAGTGTTGTAACTCAAGGGGGCTTTGGATGAAAAGGAAATACTTAGTCAAGGAGAGGGTGGATGAAATATTGTGGGAAAGCAGAATTTGGAAACTAAAGTGACCATCAACAGGGAAAATAACATAAAATAAAGTACTGCTAGCCATTCAGGGAGATTACTGAACAGCCTTGTTAGAGAAGTGGTTGGTAAACTGAGGCTCGCGAGCCACATGGGGCTCTTTGGCCCCTTGAGTGTGGCTCTTCCACAAAATACCATATGCGGGCACGCACATACAACGCAATTGAAACTTTGTGGCCCATGCGCAGAAGTCTGTTTTCGGCTCTCAAAAGAAATTTCAATCATTGTACTGTTGATATTTGGCTCTGTTGACTAATGAGTTTGCCGACCACTGGGTTAGAACATCATCCAGATACAGCAAGGTCTTGGGTTCAACCTCCAGCCAGGGCACATACAAGCAACCAATGAATGAATAATAAACAGAACAAGTTGATACCTTTTTCTCTCTTCCTCTCTCAAATCAATTGGGGGAAGGGGGAGAGAGGAAGTAGGCCTAGTGTTGAAATGCGAAAATGTCCATAAGTCATCATCACATCACTAAGATGTAGATCAATATAATATGCATAGTATAATCCCACCTGAGAAAATCTTAAATCTTTCTCTATTTTTTTATTTATTATTTGTTTTTATATTTTTATTGATTTTTTAGAGAGGAAGAGAGAGGGGTAGTTAGAAACATTGACGAGAAACATCGTGCCCGCAACCTTGGCCGGAATCGAACCCGGGACCCTTCAGTCCACAGGCCAACGCTCTATCCACTGAGCCAAACCGGTTTCAGCTTATTTTAATTTTTAATCCTCACCCAAGCATATCCTTACTGATTTTAGAAAGCACGGGAGAGATAAACATGATGTGAGAGAACACTGGTTGCCTTCCCTACGTTTCAGCCTTGGGGTTCAACCTGCAACCTTCCTGTGTGCAGGGTGATCACGCTCCAACGTACTGTTTTGTTTTTTTAACCACAATTATGTATCACTTTCATAACTCGAGGGAGAAAACCAGAGTGAAAAACCCCTAACCCATTTAGGAAAACACCCTCTCAGTAATTCTAATTTCTGAATTAGAATTTACAGCCCTGGCTTCTAGAAAGTATCACTGGTCAGCAGATCAGTTCTCATGGTTGGCTCTGAAAGAGGAACCCAGCTTATAAAGTTTATCCATTTTATTTATTTTTCTAAGGCGGGTTGTTGGGTGTGTCTTTTCTTTCATTTTAAAATGCGGGTGGTTGGGTGTGTCTTTTCTTTCATTTTAAAATGTTTTGTATTGTCTGCCTGCACGCCCCCTACTGGGAATCCAAGGGGGCGTGCAGAGCAAAGCCTATCAGTTAAATTTGTTTTTACTTTAATCCTCACCCGAGGACATTTTTTTCCTTTAATTTTTAGAGAACGGAAAGGAGGGAGGCGGGAGAGGGAGAAGAGAAACACTGATGCGAGTCGCCCCGACTGCTTGCCTCACGCACGCGCCCCGACGCGCTGGTGGGCGGGCCTGCGCTAACCACTGAGCGGAGCAAACCCTTCAAGGGGCAGACAGTCCGCGGCAGCTTCCCCTCATCCAACCCTCCCAGCAGTCCAGTGGGTCACTTAACTTTTCCAGTCAGATAGACAGACAAACTGAGGCTCGGAGAGAGGGGACACGTGGTGGGACCACGGAGCCGAGTAAAAAACCCCGCGTCCAGGCCGACTCCTCCCACCAATATGGGCGCGGCTCGGAAGGCGGAGGCCGGGCCGGAAACGCGCTTCGGGGAAGTCCGACCGAGACCTCCTCCTCCTCCTCCTCCTCAGCGGAGGCGACGCCCAACGCCACACCGGGCGGAGCGGCCGGCGCTCCCGCGGGCAGGGCCTCCCGGCCCCTCACAGACGGCGCGGGGGAAGGAGTCGAAGTGGGGTGGGGTGGGGGTTCACCTGTACACGGGCCACCTCAGAGGGAGCTCCCCGCGAGAGCAGACACCTCCCAAGCGAAACCGAGAAAGGGAGACCCCCTCCCCGGCGCCAAGACTTGTATCCGGGGTCCGGAACCGGAAGTCGCGCCCCGCCGGAAACTGGGAGTGGAGAGGGGACTAGGTTGTAGAGGGGCCGGGCCTCTCTAGGCTTCGAGGGCGGGGGGTCCTCCGCAACTTCATGGTTTTAACCAGTGATGGGCTTTGTGCAGCCTCGGCTGCTTTGCCACTTCCCAGAGGTTCTCAGTCTTTCTGAGCCGCAGTTTGCCCAACTGCAAAATGGAAAGCGAAACCGGTTTGGCTCAGTGGATAGAGCATCGGACTGAAGGGTCCTGGTCAGGGGCATGTACTTTGGTTGCGGGCACATCCCAGTAGGGGGTGTGCAAGAGGCAGTTGATTGATGATTCTCTCATCGATGTCTCAACTCTATCCCTCTCTCTTCCTCTCTGTAAAAAATCAGTAAAATATATTTTTTTAAAAAAAGGAAAAAGAAAGGGGGAAGTGAGACATTCTAGAAGCCGGCGCGCAGCTGAGTCAGGGCCCCGCCCAGAGTTACACCCTTGAGTCTGCACCATTCCGAGGGAAGAAAGCAAAGGGAAGACTGGATGGCTACTGTTTGGACTGTGGTCCTGTGTGGCGCCCGGTGGAATCACTTCACATAGGGAAGTTGTGGAGCGAATGCGAGTAAATGACCACTGGAGTCCAGACCAAATTAAAATTTAGGGAGCCTTTTAATAACCGGCCGGCTGACTGCTCTCTCTCCACGCAGCCCCAAGAGCAGCCCCGACCCTTTGTGTCTGATATATTTATACCCATTCGCTACCTCCTGTTTTTGCAGAGCAAACTATTTAAACAAAGTAGTTTTTCTTAGGTAAAGTCAACATGTCATTTACAGGGTCCTGGCACCTGGTGGACCTGCATCCGGTTATCAGGAAAGGTGACAGGGATCTATCTTGTAAGGCTGTTTTGTTAGTTACAGCTGGGATTTATGGCCAAGTCCACTAGGAGAAAGCATGCTCAAAAATTCCCACTCTCTAACAAAGTGGGCCCAGGCTATTAAGTAACCCTGCTCAGCCTAAGACCCAGGCACAAGGGGGCATATGCCATGCGTATTTAAAAACAGTTTGTCCTTGCTGAAACCGGTTTGGCTCAGTGGATAGCGCGGCGGCCTGTGGACTGGGAGGTCCCCGGTTCGATTCATTCCCGTCAAGGGCATGTGCCTTGGTTGCGGGCACATCCCCAGTGGGGGGTGGGGGGGGACAGGAAGTGGCTGATGGATGTTTCTAACTCTCTATCCCTCTCCCTTCCTCTCTGTAAGAAATCAATAAAATAAAATATATATTTTTAAAAAATAATAATAAATAAAAACAGTTTGTCCAGGGTGTGACCATGCATCTGGGAGGATCAATCTTAGCCCTTGTACCTCTTCCCAATACTTTCCAACTGCTGATGGTTATGAACTGAAATTTTAAAGTCATACTGAGCTGGTGTGAGTCTGAATTTAGTGTGGGTTTGAGTCTAGAATGGCGAAGGAGAAGCTCAGTGTCTGATTGATAACCTGTTCCACATAAATCAAGACATTATTGTTGCGCACTTCTGTCCAGCTCATGTGGCTACATAGTTCAAGCATTTTCACTGTTTTTTAAAAAACAGATTCTTATTGATTTTAGAGAGGACAGGAGAAGGAGAGAGAGAGAGAGAGAGAGAGAGAGAGAGAGAGAGAGAGAGAGAGAGAGGGCTAGAAACAACAATGATGAGAGTCATTGATCAGCTGCCTCCTGCACGCCCCCTACTGGGGATTGAGCCTGCAACCCGGGCAAGTGTCCTTGATGGAGGAATTGAAAAAAAGGATCCTTACAGTTGGCAGGCAGAGGCTCTACCCACTGAGCAAACAGGCCAGGGCTGAAATATCATCTTTATATCTGCAATTACCTCGTTGGAGACTGGAAGGCTCCCTGTATTGCAGTCTCCACGTGGCTTCTTTTAGCCTTAGTTATGGGACTTCTGTTCAGCGGGATTACAGGCGGCTCTGAATGATGGTTGTTCTGTAGTTTAGTTGTAATTTTGATGTGGTTGCGGGAGGATGTGAATTGCATCTTGACAGGAAACATTGACTATATGGTTTTTAAAGGATTTGAATTGTTGAGACTTTGGGATTAAACAAGAGGAAATCACCAAAACCGATTTGGCTCAATGGATAGAGTGTCCGCCTGCAGACTGAAGGGTCCCAGGTTCGATTCCGGCCAAGGGCATGTACCTTGGTTGCGGGCACATCCCCAGTAGGGGGTGTGCAAGAGGCAGCTGATCAATGTTTCTAACTCTCTATTCCTCTCTCTTCCTCTCTGTGAAAAATCAATAAAATGTATTAAAAAAATAAACAAGAGGAAATTGAATTATTGATAAACTTTAAGGCAAGATTTCCTAACTTCTCTGCTGCCCATGTATGAGAAAGGTGTCATAGCCGTTCTCAGCCTCACTGTGAGGCTGGGTGGAGGAGGTCCCCTGAGATCCCACTGACCAACCACAGGGTGGAATTTTACACATCTGATTGCCCTTTATCCTAAAACTATTTTGGAAAATTGCTCACAGGCCCTTCTCTGACCCATTAGGAAGAAGCAGCTCTTCAGTTTTTGCAACTCTGTGGTGCCTTAGAACACCTGGCAGTTACATCCATCCCCCGGCACTATCTGACTCCACACAAATGAGTACCATATGTGGTCCGAGAACTTCTCCCATCCTCTCCCACACTCCCATGAGAGGTCTGACCCAGTTTCTTCCTTACCCTCTCTCAGGCCCCACCAGACCCGAGCTTCTTGGGCTTTTGCAGGGGCTGGACGGGAGTTTGTGGGAGAGACTTAGGAAAGATGTGGGGCGGTTGTAATACATGGAGGCAGTGGATGGGAAGGGGGAAAAGGGATTGTGAGAAGTATAGTTGATACAATCACTTTTTAAAAATATATATTTTATTGATTTTTTACAGAGAGGAAGAGAGAGGGACAGAGAGTTAGAAACATCAGTGAGAAAGAACCATGGATCAGCTGCCTCCTGCACACTCCCCACTGGGGATGTGCCCACAACCAAGGTACATGCCCTTGATGGGAATCTAACCTGGGACCCTTGAGTCCGCAGGCCAATGCTCTATCCACGGAGCCAAACCGGTTTCGGTGATACATAACTTTTTAAAAATATATTTTTTATTGATTTTTTACAGAGAGGAAGGAGAAAGGGATAGAGAGTTAGAAACATCGATGAGAGAGATACATCAATCAGCTGCCTCTTGTACACACCCTACTGGAGATGCGCCCGCAACCAAGGTACATGCCCTTGACGGGAATCGAACCTGGGACCCTTGAGTCCGCAGGCCAATGCTCTATCCACGGAGCCAAACCGGTTTTGGTGATACAGTCACTTTTGAGAGAGATTTGGCAATTGGAAAAGTTGCAAATGAGCACGCCCTCCCACTCAGCAATTCCATTTCCTGGACTATACCCTAGGGAAACTCACACATGTGCACCTGGAGATATGTGCAAGGACCTTCACTGAGGCACTGTTTGTAACCACAAAGAATTGGCCCTGCTGTGGCTGTCCATCAGGAGGGGGAGAATGACAAATAACCAGTGTTGTGCAATGGGAGTCTCTATAAAACCAGCAGCAATGAGCTAGAGGTATAGAAATCAGCCTGGATAGACCTCAGAAACATAATGTTGGGTAAAAAAGAAAAAGCAAAATCATTCATATGACACAAAACTACGCATGCATTATTTATTTATTTGTTTATTTATTAAAATACATTTTATTGATTTTTTTTTATTTTTTACAGAGAGGAAAGGAGAGGGATAGAGAGGTAGAAACATCGATGAGAGAGAAACATCAGTCAGCTGCCTCCTGCACACCACTTACTAGGAATGTGCCTGCAACCAAGATACATGCCCTTGACCGGAATCAAACCTGGGATCCTTGAGTCCACAAGTGGACACTCTATCCACTGAGCCAAACCAAGTAGGACATATTTTTGTAGATTTCAGAGAGGCAGGGAGAGGGAGAGATAGAAATGTCAATGATGAGAGAGAATCATTGATCAGCTGCCTTCTGCACACCCCAAACTGGGCATCCAGCCCGCAACCCTGGGCATGTGCCCTGAGCAGAAATCAAACATGACCTCCTGGTTCATAGGTTCACACTCAACCACTGGGCCGTGCCAGCCAGGCATCATGCATATATCATGCCTGTATTTTTAAAAACTCCCACAATGCAGGTGCTCTCCCTCCCGGGAGCTCTCCTTACCCCCTCTCCCCGCCTCCTTGTCCCTGCCTATTAGCTTGTCACCAAGCCCCAAGGGCTCTTTCTTTACCTCTCTAACTTGTTTCCTAAGCCCATATTTCTAGGAGTTACTTTTTCTGCTTCTGTGATTTACCAAATGTTATCTTAATAAATACATAAATAATAAAACTCCAACAACGCAATATATTGTTTACAGATATTTATATGCAATAAAAATATAACAGCATCAAGTAGAAAGATAAACACCAAACTCATTTTATCAGTCAAAATAGGTTCAAATCATGCTTCTGTAACAAATCACAGTGGCTTATAAGAGTTTATTTGTTGCCTGTGCTACATGTCCAGCAGGGGTCAGCAGAGGCTCTGCTCCAGGGCTCCTCACTCCGGACCTGGCTGACCTGTAGCCAGTAATTGTCAGAGCAAAGGCGAAGAGCAGAGCACTTGGCAGATCATCCTGTCTCTCAGATCTTCCCCCAGAGAAGCCACGTGGCCAAACTGAACTTCAAGGGGGCAGGCAAGAGCTACCCTACTATGTGCCCTAAAGGAAAGGCAGTAATAGGGTTCATGACCCCACACACACCCGTGATGATGGTGACCTCTGGGAAGAGTATAAAGGAGTCTCCACCTTCACTGTAATTAATTTTAGAAAATATGAATCGAAAATGTAAAATTTGATCATTCTGGAGGGAAGCTACTTGGATGTGTCCTACATTGTGTTGTACCTTTTCAGCTTTCAAAATTAGAAGTATGATCTTTAAAGGGGGGGGGGGAGTAATGAAACAACATTAATATTAAAAATGATATATGGGTGGCTCTAGCTGGTTTGGCTCAGTGGATAGAGCACGTTGGCCTGTGGACTGAAGAGTACCAGGTTCGATTCCCAGTCAGGGCACATGCCTGGGTTGCAGGCTCGATCCCCAGTAGGGAGCATGCAGGAGGCAGCTGATCAATGATGCTCTCTCATTGATGTTTCTATCTCTCTCTCCCTCTCCCTTCCTCTCTGAAATCAATAAAAATGTTTATATATATATCT